TGCTGAGTACGCAGGCCTGAACATCCAGACGCAGCCTGTCGGTGACTCCTTTGGGACCTGCTGTGTCTATGAAGGCAGCCGATGCTCCTCCTCCAGGCAGCCACTGGGCTTGGCCTGCAGCAGAAGGAGCAGCACACAGTCATAAAAAGATGTGTGCTTAAGAGTCAAGAGTCAGTCAAAGTCATCATTTTCACTGCTTTATTATCAAGGACATTCTCTCTAAGTGCATGGCAAAGAAATTAGGAACTATTAGTCCAGCTTGGCATGGCTGTCTTGATTCATCACTTTCGCACCATCAGTGCAGATATCACAGAGTGGAAAAGGCCAGTGTTCTATTATTATGGAAAGTTTTGACCTCATGGATCCCTGCAAAAGGTCTAGGGGAAGCCCCAGCGCACAAGGCACATGCCATGAGCAGGCCAAGCATCATTCTGCCTGCCGAATGCTGGTCTGCTGTCTGTTTTAGACCCATGACCTCTTAACATAAATTTTTCAGTTGAGACATGATGATAGATACAGTTTTGTTTTGAACTAAACTTTGTTTCTCCCTCTGGACATGTTCCACTTCCTCTCACTGCTAGCCATGTAACTTATGTAACTTGTGGCAAGCCATTCAACTAAAACCTCAGGTGCCTCATCAATAACATGGAGGTAATGGTCACTAGGCAATTCATGATGCTGTCGAGCCATAAAGATAACTTTACACGGATAAAAATAACTACTTTATACTGATAAAAAAACTACCCATTTTTTATCAGTCTAATTTTATTAAATCCCTACTATGTGCCAAGCAGTACTATCCTATGGACCAGCATAGACTAGACTAGGTCCCTAGCTCACACCTCCAGCAGGAAGTAGGGAGAAAAACATCAGAGAACTAAAAAGCCATCAAGAGGGATTATTAAGTGACAGGGTGTCTCCTTCAGATGGGGTGATGGTGGGCCTCTCTGAGGAAGGGACCTAGATGCTGAGTATGGAAGACGAGAAGGAGCCAGGTGTGCAAAGTTCAGGGGAAGAACATTCCAGGAGTTTCTATCCAAGAAGCAGAAAAGATGAGTAGGGGCCAAATGATGAAGGCTTATGTGAACCAGTGAGAGGAGTCCGCATTCTACTTTAAGCACAGAGAAAGCAAATGGAGACCACCAGTAAGGAAGTAACAGAATCTGATTCACACTTTCAAAAGATCCCTCTGGCCGGGTGTGATGGCTCAAGCCTATAATCCCAGCACTTTGGGAGGCCAAGGTGGGAAGATTGCTTGAGCTCAGGAGCTTGAGACAAGCCTGGCCAACATGGTGAAACCCTGTCTCTATTAAAAATACAAAAAATTAGCTGGGCGTGGTGGCATGCACTGGTAGTCCCAGCTACTTGGGAGGCTGAGGCACGAGAATCGCTTGAACCTGGAAGGCAGAGGTTGCAGTGAGCCGAGATCCTGCCACTGCATTCCAGCCTGGGCAACAAAAGCAAAACTCCGTCTCAGAAAAAAAAAATCAGTTTCAAACAGTTGGAATATAATAATCACAGTTAAACACAAATAGGAGATATATATATATATATCTGTTTTAGTCAAAGGTCTGTGAATGATTCATTTTGAACTACAGTTCATATATGTCTAGTTATTTGAAAATTGCAAGCTGAAAATACTATCGATACATGTATGCATCATTCGCTACACATAGTAGAATTAACCAAATAACAAACTCATTTGATAATAATAATTTTAAACTAACAGTAACTTAGTAATTAAAATGTGGTAAAAGTGGCATTTGAAAACCAAGACTGATTCAAAACAAAGATGACAGGAATCCAACTGAGAGTGGGCATGGGCTGTAGCTGTGGAAGGATGCCGAGTGCTGAGTGGCAAAAAAAACTTCTTGGAGTCATCAGTCAGTCGACTTTGGTAAAGAGATGTCAATTTTAGGAATCTGTAGCATGGCCACTAAATATGACGCCGGTAAGTAATCACTGGTATATATACAAAATAAAAGTATGGAACTGCACATTAATCACAGAAAGAAGCAAAATCTCAGCTTGCATTTAGGACAGTCATCGGCCACCAGGAGGTAGTTGCTGTAGCTACTAGCACAACCACGCCCACACATTTCACTTTACAGACATGCTGCTCCACCAGACTGGAGGCCATCTCCAGCAAGTGGGACGGTGTGGCCTGGAGGCCAAAAAACACCCTAGGGCCAGGCCTGTGGCTCACACCTGTAATCCCAGCACTTTGGGAGGCTGAGGCAGGCAGATGACCTGAGGTCCAGAGTTCGAGACCAGCCTGGCCAACATGGTGAAACCCTGTCCTACCAAAAATACAAAAAAATTAGCCAGGCGTAATCCCAGCTACATGGGAGGCCAAGGCAGGAGAATAGCTCGATCCCAGGAGGTGGAGGTTGCAGTGAGCCAAGACCATGGTACTGCACTCCAGCCTGGGCAACAAGAATGAAACTCCACCTAAAAAAAAAAAAAAACCCAGGCTGAGCATGTTGGCTCATGCCTGTAATGCCAGCACTTTTGGAGGCCAAGGCAGGAAGACTGCTTGAGCCCAGGAGTTCAAGACCAGCCTGAACAATAGTGAGACTCCCCAACCCCAGGTACAGTGGCGCACACTTATAGTCTCAGCTACTGGGGAGGCTGAGGTGGGAGATTTGCTTGGGCCCAGGAGGTGGAGACTGCAGTGAGCTGTGTGATCTCACCGCTGTACTCCAGCCTGGATGACAGAGCAAGACCCTGTCTGAAAAAAAAAAAAGGAAGGAAGGAAGAAAAAAAGCACTCCACAAATGGGGTTTGTTGAGCCTGCAGTGTTGGACTACGACATGTTCAGTAATATATCTGAATTAGTACCAATATTTAAAAACTGGAAGACTTTACATTAACAACAACAACACTTTGCTGGCTTCTCAAAGGCAAAGAGAGAAAGCGGGCCAAGGCCCAGCTGCCCCTTCAGCTGTGGCAGGTACTCTCCAGGGAGCCCCCGTTCTCACCCTCTGGAAGCTGTCACACACACTGTGTTAAATGTCAGCTGCCATTTATCTTTATCTTTGAACCTATGCCATTATTCTTCCTAAATTCATTTACGCTACCTTCCCACTCCTGCTATCATTTGACTTGCACTTGTGCCCTAGCAGGCTGTGTGAAAATGTTCGTTCAAAGTCTGACCTGAGGGAAGAGACTACAAGATTCCAGACTCACAAACTCAACTGAAGACATTAGCTGCTGTTTTTCTCCACTGGAAACAGAAACAGCAAACATTCTCCCTGGCTCCTTTCTAAGTTGCAAACTCCATAGTTACTAAAAGTAACAGAACTTTTGTTTCTCTTAGCAACCTGTGAAAAGCTTATTAGGAATTGTTGATCATTCACAAACTAATGTTTTAATTAAAAGTTCAAAAATCTACCTGTTAATCAGTTTCAAACAGTTGGAACATAGGTTTAGAACAGAGGAGGGAACCACATTTCAAAAGAACAACAACAAAAAAAAACCACTACCCTACACACAGAATGAAAAAAAAAGTCTTTTCATAAATGTACAGCAACCACAAAGCCTTTTAACTATATTATTAGTAACGAAGATGGCCATAAGACAGAATTTATGCAACCTCCACCAATGACTAACTTATTTAACTCCTTAAACTGCTTTTGGATGAAACAAATTTTCCTAATCTTTTATAAGTAAGCCCACCCAGTAACTAAAGTACTGGTTACTGGTGACTTCTGGCTAGAGTTACCAGAAGTGTAATCTTTTTTTTTTTTTTTTTGAGACACAGTCTCAATCTGCCTCCCTGGCTGGAGTGCAATGGTGCGATCTCAGCTCATTGCAACCTCTGCCTCCCAATTCTCCAGCCTCAGTTTCCCAAGTAGCTGGAATTACAGGTACCACCACCAGGTCTGGCTAATTTTTGTATCTTTAGTAGAGACGGGGTTTCACCATGTTGGCCAGGCTGATCTCAAACTCCTGACCTCAGGTGATCACCCACCTCAGCCTTCCAAAGTGCTGGGATCACAGGCATGAGCCACCATGCTCAGCCCAGCAGTATAATCTTATCTATGTCCAACATCATATACTAAAAAACAATAACATTCCATAAACATATACATAAGCCTAGAGGAAATCAAACATTGTAACACCAACTTCCTCTTTCATACCACTGAAATGTGCAAATCATTAAAAGCAGCCTGGAGGGAGAAAATACTTACCAAAAGACAAATTGTAAGTGTCCACAGAGGAGAAGCAGTATCACCCTTTTGCTTTTTAGACTAGGAAATTGATAGTGTTTTATGAAGGAAAGATTCAGCAAAATTCGGCTTTCTTTCCTACCAGCTGCTTGTGAGTCACTCTCCACACTCCAACACCATGAGGACACCCTAAAACCTGCACCCAAGTCTCAACCCCTCATACCCTAACTGCACAATTAAAGAAATTCTATCTCCAAGTTACAGCAACAGGACACTACATAAAAGCAGGGAAGTCTAGCTTCAAGACAAACTGTTTAGAAGACTAGAATGAAGTTCACTGTATCTTTAAAATAACTGCACTAATTTGTTACTAGTTGAACATTTTCCAGTATTCTTGTTTCCTAATCTAGTATATCAGACTTCTTCACTTCACCCACCCACCCTGGATATTTTTACAAGTAGACTAACCATGTGGGTATAAGCATTATATCGCACGTTGTGAATCTCAGTGTTAACGGAACTAAGTAGTTGCCAAAGAGCATGTAACACTCGCAATGCTGTATTTTCAAATTTGCTTAACTTTTATTGTCTGAATTAGAACTTAGTTGGAATTGAATTAACACTGCACAGTGAATAACGACGAACCAAAACAGCCTTTCCCATTTTCAATCAAAAACTGCAGTCTGAAATGGCTTTTGCTTTCTAGTCGACTTACAACGTGTGGCTTAGGGGAAATGCTGGCGCTTTACTAAGGACACTTTTCGAGCTGTAAACTTTCGTTGTTGGAGAAACTACCAAGTTCAAGGGGTGTCATCAGAATCCACTTACCCGATCCTTCATCCTCCAGCTCTGAGCTAAGGATTTGGAGCCTTCAATTTTCTCACAGTGCCTCTTTTTCATAAAAGCCAAAGGTAGGTTCCAGTCTGTAAGATCAGCCTCATCTTCCTCCCCCAGGCCCAGAAGAGGCGACTGCAGCATTTCGGACTCCATCAGTGGGGGAGGGGGTGGGGGAGTCCTTGGCAGTAAGCGCTCGAGAACCTCCAGCCTTAAAAACTAGTGTGTACCAGAATTGGTGAAATAAGAAACAGCAAAACGGAGAATCGAAAAAGAAAGGGATGGAGAGTGCGGAGACCCTTACTCAGGCAAAAAGTCTGAGATCCTTATTTCTAACTCTGAGCGGGAGGCGGGGAGGGGGCCGCTGGAAAATGGGGCAGCCCAAGAAGCTCCGCAGACACACACCACCCCAGGTCCCAAGCCACTGGCTGCTCCTGAGGCTGTACGTTTCCAGAGGGGCTGCGAGCCGAGCTGTCAAAAGCGTGAGAGACTTCAGGCCTCACGATGACCCTGCTCTCGGCCTCCAACGCCTCAGCAGATCCGAGGACAGGCAGGCCGCTCCTGGTGCTGGTTCGCCCACTGGGCCGACTGGGCTGAGGTCTCCGGCCAAGGGATCGGGTTCAGAGGGCCTTGGGTCTCCTCTAGCCACTCTCAGCCCTGCGGGTCCCGCACTCGCCTGAGCTGCTGCAACCAGAGCCAGGACCGGCCCATCGTGCTCGCCCGCACCCGGTTCCTCAACCTTAGGTCCGCGCGGCCTGGCTGGTCCTGGCCTTCAGCCCCGAGGCTCTCTGATGCGTGAGAACGAGTCCTGAGAAACAGGTGACACGGAACCACGGAGAAAAAGGACAATGTGGGCTTATTGGGTCAGGGGAGTTTTGCCCTCTGGTTTGGAGGTACAGTGAAACTCCTCTCATCAGCACACTAAGGAGGACGCCATATTGCCAGGACCCAGAATGCACCGCGACCTACGGCGTGGCCAACAGACCAAACCTCCTCAGAGCGTTCTCGCCGCGCCACCAGCAAGAGGCAGAGGAAGGGGAGTCCCCGACCCCGTTACCTCGGTTACCATAATTCCATTTTCCCCAGTTCATCGCCGTTCGTTCCATAGAGGCGTGTTATTAAAGTCAGTCCTACAAATGAAACTGTCATTTTCAAAACAAAACAAAACAAAACAAACTGTCAGTTTGTTTTTTCAAAAACATTGTTACAGGCTCCTCAAATTAAAGGAATCGACCACCCTGTTTCTTCCAGATTTTGAAAAAGCGGCAAAAGCTTCAGGAAAAACCATTTATAGCATTAGAAAAGATAGTGCTTTTTTTTTTTTTTTTTTTTTTTTTTTTAGTGTAGTAGCCTCCACAGTGTCAATCAGATTTTCTCTTTAATTTTTTCATAGGAAACCGAGTGAGAGGTCGGACACAGTGGCTCACGCCTGTAATCCCAGCACTTTGGGAAGCCGGGGCCGGCGGATCACGACGTCAGGAGATCGAGACCATCCTGGCCAACATGGTGAAACCCTGTCTCTACTAAAAATACAAAAATTAGCTCAGTGTGGTGGCGCACACCTGTAATCCCAGCTACTCAGGAGGCTGAGGCAGGAGAATCGCTGGAACCCGGGAGGCGGAGGTCACAGTGAGACAAGATCGCGCCACTGCACTCCAGCCTGGCGACAGAGCGAGACTCCGTCTTGAAAAAAAAAAAGAAAAAGAAAGAAAGTGAAAAAAAATTTCATCGAATACATTTTTTAAAATTTGATCTATCTCATTTCTGAGAGTTTTATCCTTTTAAATTTTTTCCCCACTTCTTGGTATTAGTAGTTTATTCTTATGTTGATATAGCTTCACGTGCAGATATCTAAAACTCTGGATTTCTGTGCGTGGAGGCAAGCCTCTTGTGTGACTCTTTTTCAATCCAGGAACCTTGGCTCGTGTACAACATACAGAGAACTGCGTAAGTTGGAATATAAACCCTAACGTAACATGCAGTGCCTGCTTCGGCTAAACCGAATGTCTAGTGTGCCACCCTTGAGGCCGACCAGCAAAGCAGGGGACAAGCAGAGAGGCTCATTTCCCCTCTGCGCTGGGGCTTTGGCATCGGGGACAAGGCAAAGAGGCTCATTTCCTTTCTGCACTGGGGCTTTGATGTCAGAAGCACCTGGATTCTCATCTTGGCTGTATGGCTTTCTAACTCTGTGAGCTTGCTTAAGCCCCTCACTAGCTCGGTCTTAGCTTCCTCAACTGTAAAAGTGGGCTCATTCTACCCGCCTGGAAGGAGATGAGCTTGTGAAGGTGCCTAGTTGAACATCCAACAGATGTTCGCTCCATGTAATGCTCTGTAGCAGCAGTGAAATCCAGCAACTCTGTGTGACTTTTTTTTTTTTTAAGACAAAATCTCATTCTGTCACCCAGGCTGGAGTGCAGTGGCATGATCTTGGCTCATTGCAACCTCCACCTCCCGGATTCAAGTGATTCTCCTGCCTCAGCCTCCCGAGTAGCTGGGCCTACAGGTGCACACCACGATGCCCGGCTAATTTTTGTATTTTTAGTAGAGAGAGGGTTTCACCATATTGGCCAGGTTAGTCTCGAACTCCTGACCTCGTGATCCATCCACCTTGGCCTCCCAAAGTGCTGAGAATACAGGCATGAGCCACCCTGCGTGGCCCCCTGTGTGACTTATTAATCCAAAGCCTCAGGTTGGATTCTGGAAGATACCCTCTCTCTCAGGACAGTTTTCTGGGGCTTAGACGAATGTGGCCATCCATATCAAAATCTTGATGACATTTGTGTTCCTTTCAAAATGAGAATGAAGAGTACAGTCCCAGACTTTTCTCACCCAGCACATAGCAAGCATTTAATAAAGGCTCTAGGATTAAATCTTTATCATTCCAAACATTCATTTGGTTATTACATCCCACAGAGCCAACTCGCCTATTGAAACTCAGTGCACCCTCTGTGTTGGCAGAGAGACTATCCTCACAGTCACCAGCAGAGGCTTCAGGGATGCAGGGTCTTAGGAAGACCCTGTTCTCATCTGAAGGCAACAAAATAACTCCGGTCCTCTGCCTTGTCACCTTGCTCCCCACCTCCGGTGGCTGCAGATAGCTATGCTCCAGCAGTTATTGCAGGAAGCCACAGTTACAGAAAAGCAGCAACGCTAAACCCGTTCATTCCTAACTAGTTCTGTGACCCGGAAAAGCCCACTGAATCTGTGTGAGACTCAGTTTCCTTACCTATAACATGCATGATCTTGGGAAATCTATTTTTTTAGCTGAAATGCTGAGTGAAGATAGTCAGCACGCTGAAGTCCAAACCTAGCAGGTGGTCAGAATCACCCAGCAAACTAAAAATCAGGATGCCCAGCTTCCGCTCCAGACCCCCAAATCGGGGAGCAGGGAGACCGGGATTCAGAATCTGCATTTTTTTTTTTTTTGCGGTTTTTACAGTTTTATTTAAACACAAAACGTCCACATGAGCTGTCTACTCATTTACTTCACTGCGCAGTGTGACATTGGGGTTGGTGAGTCTGATGGCCGGCTGGGCAGCTCTTTCCACGATGGCTTTGTGGTTCTTGGAAGAAACATTGTGAGTGACCTCAGCATCTTAAGGTTTGCTGTGCATCAGCCGCACTTCCGGCTCCTTCACGTTGCAGACCAGGAACTTCCGGAAGCTACTGGGCAGCACGTGCTTTGTCTTTTTGTCACTCCCATAACCAATGTTGGGCATCAAGACCAGATGGCCCTTGAACCCCCTACGAACCCTGTTGTCAGTACCCTTGGGTTTCTGCCAATTGCGCCTAATTTTGACATACCAGTCAGTCTGGTGCCAGATGACCATCTTTTTGATGATCTTGGGCTCCACAAGGGGTCGGAGGGCGGCCATGGTGCCGAGGAGGAGATGGTTGCCACCTCCCAAGGCAGCACCAAGGAAGAGAGCCAGAACCTGAATTCTTAAATCAGGTCACTCTGATGATGGTTCACAGACAGGCAGACTTGGAGGTCTTAAGTTTGGAAGTAATTGTCCAAACTTCCATCTGACAAAGCATAATGAGACTCACCCCCTCCTCAAAACAGCAGAAGAAAACATACCCTCTACTGCTGTGTTTTGTTTTGTTTAAGACCAAGTATCTCTGTCACCCAGGCTGGAGTGCAGTGGCACCATCTTGGCTCACTGCCACCTCCGCCTCCCAGGTTCAAGTGATTGTCCTACCTCAGCCTCCCAAGTAGCTGGGATTACAGGTGTGCACCACCACACCCAGCTATTTTTTTTTTTTATTTTTAGTAGAGACAGGGTTTCACCGTGTTACTCAAGATGGTCTTGATCTCCTGACCTCATGATCCGCCTGCCTCAGCCTCCCAAAGTGCTGGGATTACAGATGTGAGCCACCACACCTAGCCACCCTCTGCTGTTTAACAGATGTGAACCCAAACCAGGAGGCCACTCAGAGTCCAGGTCCTGGACTGAGGATGGAGACATACACACATGCGATGGTCCCCAGCCTGCCACCAATTCCTGTAGACCTCGGCAAAGCCTCCGCCCTCCTCTACCCTCAGTCTCCACACCTGTAATGTGAGAAACTTGGAAAAGGCGAATTTCTAAGGATTCTTCCAGTTTGAAATTCTATGATTCATGTAAAGACCAGAAAGGGGCTTGTGACTGCCCAGCTCTCACCCTGATGGTTCAAGAATGGGCTTGAATCATTTCATGGCATCTTGGCATTTAAAAGAAACCTTGTTCCAGCCAGGCAAGGTGGCTCACGCCTATAATCCCAGTACTTTGGGAGGCCAAGGCGGGTGGATCACGAGGTCAAGAGATTGAGACCATCCTGGTCAACAAGGTGAAACCTGTCTCTACTAAAAATACAAAAATTAGCTGGGCATGGTGGTGTGCGCCTGTAGTCCTAGCTACTCGGGAGGCTGAGGCAGGAGAATTGCTTGAACCCAGGAGGTGAAGGTTGCGGTGAGCCAAGATCGTGCCATTGCACTCCAGCCTGGGTAACAACAGCGAAACTTCGTCACAAAAAATAATAATAAATAAAAGAAACCTTGTTCCAGTATGTCACGGATGATTCTCTTAAAGTCCCAGCCAAGCATTTGGAAGTGGCTCTAGGTTTTTGAAAGGAAGAGAGCATCTGTGAGTAATGGCAGGCTGGAAATTCAAGAGCTGACCTTTCTCACGTGGGTGATTCCATGAGCGTGGCAGGAGGTGGGCTGGCCCACCTCCTGCTTGGTGTTGCAGTTCCAATTTCCAATGTCTCCACCTCTTCACAAGCAAGGACATCTATTTTCCACAGAGCCTCTAAATAAGTACTTTAATCTTAAAAACAAGTGTTAGGAATCTCAGAAAAAAACACAAAACTAATATAAATATAAACATATATATATATACACACGCCTGTAGTCCCGGCTACTTGGGAGGCTGAGGCAGAAATTTGAGCCCAGGAATTTGAAACTTCGGTGAGCTATAATTGCACCACTGTGCTCCAGCCTGGCCTGTAGACCAAGACCCCATCTCAATTAAAATAAAATAATGCAGAAAGAGAAAAAGAAAGCGGGGAGGGTGTTGATGACAACAGCTCCATGAGTCTTTTATGGTCACTTATTCAAGACTCGAATCAGGCAGTGTTTGCAAGACCACATGCCACAGAAGCATGCTGCTGCTGCTGTGAACGTCAGCTTGCACATGTGGGGCCGAAGATGGTTCCAGGGCCGGCTGTGATCCAAAAACAGTGGAACAGACCAGGCGCGGTGGCTCACGCCTGTAATCCTAGCACTTTGGGAGGCTGAGGCAGGAGGATTGCTTGAGCCCAGGAGTTTGCGACCAACCTAGGCAACATTGGGAAACCCTGTCTCGACGAAAAATAAATATTTTTTTTGTGAGACGGAGTCTCACTCTATCACCCAGGCTGGAGTGCAGTGGTATGATCTTGCCTCACTGCAAACTCTGCCTCCTGGATATAAGCAATTCTCCAGCCTC